ACTGGGAAAACTCAAAGTGGGCGGAGCCTAGTCGTGTTTAGGCTCATTTTGAAACTCCTGATTTAATTGATACTGATAAAATGTTTATTTCAAGTTTGACTGAGAATTTAGAAAGTTATGAGAAAAGGAAACATTTTGAGTTTTGCCTATAACTTTCTAAGTTGCGCTCCAAACTCAATGAACACAGAAATATGAATTCAGCACGTTCCAAGCTTCAAAATGAGCCTAAACGCGACTAGGCTCCGCCCACTTTGAAATTTCACCTAGATACGCGACGCACGACCGCGACGCGTCGGAAAAATGAAAGTGAGCGGAGCATAGTCGTGTTTAGGCTCATTTTGAAACACATTCAATTCCAGATCGATTTGTATGGTTTTCATCAAGTTTAGACAAAAACTAGCCGAGATACTAGTTTTTTTGGAGTCCCACCTCGAAATTCACAAAAACTAGCGTAACTCGGTTAGTTTATGTACAGTTTTGACGAATGTAAAATCATTAAGCTTGAAATTTGAAATGCTTCAAAATGAGCCCAAACATGACTAGGCTTCGCCCTTTTTGAATTTTCAGTGAGACACGCGACGCACGACCGCGACGCGTCGGAGAAATGAAAGTGGGCGGCGCCTAGGCGTGTTTGGGCTCATTTTGAAGCTCTTGACTTGAATGAAACGATTAACCGCATTATTTTAAGTTTAGAGCAAAATTCGAAAAGTTATGAAAAGAAATCAAAATTTTCATTTAAAAAAAATTTTAATTTGAAATTTTAGACTTTCAAAAAAGGATTTCTTGGGATCCTCACCTCAAAATGATCATGTGCCGACATTTGATAATTACTAGCATCTTTGTTCGTAATTTCAGACATTTTCAGACAAAAAAAGAGCCATTTTTAGATATGGGGGGGAGCACATTTTATACTGAAAAATGAGTCTTTATCTCTGTTTTCCTTTTTTTTTGGTTTGAAAAAAACGATTAAAAATGAGGAATAAACAGTGTATGTTTCTGTTTTTGAACGGGTTATGAAACACAACTCTAAAAATATGATAACAGTATGATAAAGAAGAGGAACGCTCCAAAACAAAAAAAAAAGTGATCTTGTTGACTTATGGGGCTCCAGAAGACGTCAAATTCAGAATATTTCAGAAATTCAAAAAGTCAGAATATTTAACAAAATATTTCCTTTTCATATATGTAAACACCATCAAAATTGGTTGACTGGAAATCGAGTTATCGTCCTTAAAACATCAGTTAGTGCATTTTAAGCCTGTCTCCAGAATAAAGGCTCCTAGAAGACGTCAAAATCAGAATTTTTTGAAAATGCA